GTAAATAACTTAGTGTGTCATATTCCTAAATGGTCAATCAGCTCAAGGTCACAAAGTCCTCCACCTGATCGGTCGCAGACGGACGGAAAGAGCACAGCAGGAGATCAAATTATATTTAGCGGGTTGGAATAATCCAACCCCAACACATATAATCCTATTCGTTCCTCTACAGCGAGTTCAGACGTTTGGCTCCCAGTCTACCTGCCGATCCCCTCTCTGCAAGCGCGTCTAGAAATATTACCTGCAAGTCAACTTTCTCTGCTGACTTTGGCTTCCTCCCAACTACAACCTGTAGTTCTACGCTTACATCTCTCACTATCAGTTGCCAAACGGATGCTTCCTCGGACACCAGTCATGCATGACATCACAGTTCAAAACCAGGCAGGAGGTTAACGTAGTAGGTTGCCTTTATTTATCTTTATCTGGCAAAGTTCTTGCAGTTAGGGAATGAAATTCTCATGAGGGACAAAAACAAAAAGAAATTAGGAAAAACACGGGCCGAGAAACAAACGCATAACAGATTCCCCTGGTACCACTAGTAAAAAAATACTAGTTGGTCCCCTATAAACATATTTTGCTCAGGTATTTAAGTCCTTCCAAATGTACAAGATATGTTACAGATAAATTTAACAACATGAACAGTGGAGAGACACAAATCATCTTAGATGACTTTCTTAAGCTCGTCATACAAGACGAGCACGAAGGCACCACCCATGCCTCGGAGCACGTTGGACAACGCTCCTTTGAAGAACGCCTTGCCTCCCTCATCACGTGCAATCTTCCTCCAGCAGTCCAGAGTGCCAGAGTACATAATATCAGCTGAGGAAAAGGGGAAAATTCTCATTAATGGCCATGAATAAGAGATTTTAGCGCTTATAAAGCCAATATTTTGGAGTTTTTACCTCCTTTGCGACCAGACTGCATCATCATACGACGACGGACAGTGTCAAAGGGGTAGGACACAAGACCAGCAACGGCCGTCACACTCTGAGCGATCATCCAGCTCACAATAATGTGCGTGTTCTTGGGATCTGGGAGCATGCCTGAAAGAGATGCATCGATTCAAAAGGTTAATCTTCTCCCCTGAAGGATGAAGAGCTCATAGAATGAGAAAGGAGACGTTAGCTGAACTCACCCTTAGCCGTGTCGTAGACACCAAAGTAGGCTGCTCTGTAGATGATGATGCCCTGCACTGAAACGTTGAAGCCCTGGTACAGGCCTTTGAGGCCATCAGACTTGAAGATCTTCGCCAAGCAATTTCCCAGGCCAGAGAATTCCCGCTCCGCTCCCGCTTTACCCACATCAGCAGCAAGACGCGTTCTGGCAAAGTCGAGGGGGTAGACAAAACAGAGGGACGTGGCTCCCGCTGCACCACCGGACGCCAGGTTACCTGCAAAGTATCTCCAGAACTGCTTGTGCTTGTCGACGCCATCCAGGAAAATCTTCTTATACTTGTCTTTAAAAGCAAAGTTGAGTGCCTGCGTGGGAAAGTATCTGATCACATTGGCCAGGTTGCCTCTCCAGAAGGAGAGGAATCCCTGTTCTTTGGGGATGCGGACCACGCAGTCCACGATACCCTTGTACTGCTTGTCGGCTGTAATCTGTTTGCTGGCATGTTGCACCTGTGAAGAAAGAAAGAAAAAATGCATTCATACTTTTGCATGATTCTTTTATTTCCCCTGCACTTGCTTGCATGTGATGAACCAACTCTTTAGGCATCCATTCAATAATTCACAGCCCCGCCTCCTCCTCCCCAGGCTGCTGCATCCAGGCCCCCTATGCAGCAGCTGAAAATCCTGGCCCTTCCCTTCCTATGACCTTGCCTGCAACTAAACTAATAACACTTTAGAGAGAGAGGCGATTTTAAACACCACATCAGGTGATCATCAGCCTGTTATGGGACACTGTGTTTCCTCCAGTGTTAGGGAACAAACTCACTCAGCTTTGAGTCTGGCTATTATTACATAACTGCTCTGCTTCGCCTCAAAGAAGCTCATTCTTATTTGACAGAGCTGCAGCCATTTACTATTTAAAACCCAACTTTCTGCTCCTGGTGCTGCAGCATCCATCTGATAAGATCAAGATCTTAGTCAGCGGTTTTAGGGATGCCGCATCAACAGCTGAGGCGTCATAACACCTCAGTTAACTGCAGGGAGAAGAACACAGCCTACCTGCAGCAGAAGTTTTACTCTCTCGATGGGAGCAACGGCTGTTTTGGAGATGGCAGCGGCGATGCCGCCAGCCAGGAAGTCCTTGGCAAAGGAGATGGCTTGTTCACTCATCTTCGGGTGTTTTCCAGACGCCGTCCGGCTGCTCGGTCCGTGGGTTCAGCAGGTGGAGTTGAAATGGCCGAAAGAAAGCGAGAGTTGAATGGTTTTAAGGAGGCTGAACGCCGCGAGAAACGTGGATTCCTGCTCTCGCTTGCGATAGGTCGGTTGTGAGTAGGATGGGAGGAGCCGAATGACGTTGTTTCAGTTAGATGTGCTGGTTTCCATGGTCACCCAGAGAGTAAACTATATATATTTTTTGTTCCACAATATCAGGGGGAGTTTATCATAAACAAAAGTTGTGGATTTTTTCTTGTTTTAATCTTCATAAGACGGGTTTTTATTTGTTTTATTTAATTAGAGTTTAATTCCAGTCTGAACCAGACAGGGCCTAAAAACTATGGTGGGTAAAGGTCACCCCAACTGTTGATGTCCTTTGGCTGTCAGTTTCCCACTGTGGGAGGGACGTGGGTCAATCAGCTGACTGAGTCCACGCAAATCCCGTCGCACCAAGTAGGGCAGGGCATTATATCAAATAATCTGACAACACTCCTTCATATA